TGTCGCCTTTAATCCCAATCAGGGGCCGTGGATGCGCTGTGACCCCCACGCAAGGAGAAGTCGCGGATCAGCTGTCTCACCTTATTTCCGTCCCTGCCACTGAATACCCTCTAGGATCCTGTCTTTCCCCTCCTTCCTCTTCCTTACAGACGAAATCACAGCTCAAAGTTACGAAGAACCGGCGCCAGGAAACCGACACAACCACCCTGCCAGCTCCAACGCCAAGGCCTCGGCCCCGCTCCCGCCCCCATCCCTCCCAGACGGCGACCGCAGCACAAGCTTCGGCCTGGCCAGGACTCCCCATCTGGGATAGCCATCGCTCACTGACCCAGGAAGGTGTCAAACGAGGAGGTGGCAGCAGTAACAGGTACGGAGGCAGACAGCCCGGTAAACGTTAACGGTTCAGCGCTCCATCTCTCCCGGACCTAAGCTCCGGCCTCACGACTTCCTCGACCCCAGCGCCTACGGAGAAAGTCACGTGCCAGCCCAGCCAGTCAGCTGACCATAGCTCGCGTTGTTCCGCCTACGCGCGCACCACTGCGCAGCCGCAGCCGCAGCCGCCTCAGCCTCTGTGGAGGGGGCGGTCCTGGGAGGCTGGCTCAGAGAGGGAAGAAGACCCGGAGCCCTTGTCCCGGGGTAGGTGGGGTTTTCTGCTTTTTCCAGTGTCCTGAGTAGCGTCTTGTGCCCCGCAGGTGAATGTCACCGCCACCGTCGCTACCATTATTCCACTTCGTCAGGTTTCTGCGACCCAGAACTTGTCTCCAACCACGTACACAGGCTTCTCCACTCGGGGTTATCTTGGACAGCCCCATTTTCTGAGTAATATCCTTGATGGTTAGTTTAGACTGATTAACGTGTTCCTTCTAGTCGTCTACTTCAACATCATTCCATAAATGTTCATGAAGTATTTACTGTATACCATGCATTGTGCTAAATATTTTACGATGACCTGCTTGAACGAATCACTCCTTGCCAGGAGCGTGTTTTCTTGTTTAGGGATGACGTGTGGTCTGTGAAAAACAAATAGTTGAAACCACATTAAATAGTGGGAAACCAAGGAAGATTTCAGGACAGAGGCATGGAGCAAGCCGCTGTTTTGAACCCTGCATATTTTATTACTTTAAGAAGATAGATGGGATTTTTCTAATTTAGAACATAGAGTTTTAGAAACAGTAGAGACCTTTGGGATTTTCTACGTCCTTTCGGATTTGAGGAAAGTGAAGAACCAGAAGTCACAGAGCTGTTCAGCGTAAGGGAGTAGACACACCTGGTTTTAACCTTAGCTCCACTGCTTACTGGCTGTGCGACCTTAAACCAGAACCCATTGCGTCGAGTCGATTCTGACTCATAGCGACCCTGTCTAAACTTCATCTTCTTCACCTGAAAAGTAAAGGCAGTAATACACACCTCATAGAGGTACTGTGAGGATTAAATGAAGTATGCATTAAGCACAGTGCCTGGCACACAGAAAACACCCAGTAAATGCTCGCCATTATTACCATACATTATAGGACCCAGGTTTTCTGACCTAGACTATTCTCTTTCTGCTGTTGGGTCCCTGTAAAAATTCACCACAACATTTCTTAGAACTTCAGTGTTAGGTTGAACAAAAAGTAACAACCAACCAAACTATCCCCAAACAGAATGCTTTT